AGATCAATATTAGAGTCCTGTTCACCAGTTCTTTGAGATAGTCTTGTCATGGTGGAAATGTTGAGGATGTGGAGATCACTTTCAATCAACTTGCTGTCCTTTCCCTGACCATTTTCGTTGACATTGCCCCAGGCCGAGCTTCTGGCATTAAAGTCCCCAACGATCAGGGCAACATCTCCAAGATCGAATAGCTCATGGAAAAACTCCCAGTCATCTTCCTTGACAGGTTTTCCACTTCCTGCATAGAGATTGACAATGACCCATGACCACTTGTGCGTGTAGCTCCCTGTCCTTCTTGTCCCAAGCACTGACGTCTCTTACCCGGTGCTGGATACCATTCCTAACAAGTGTGGCCAATCCATGATGAGTCGGGCTCACTGGGTTGATATATGATGTGTACCCAGGACATGACAAGGTAATAGCATTGGTCTCCTGCAGAAAAAAAGAGGTCAAAGTCATAGGCGAGCTTTTCCAGCTCTCTTCCTCTTTTCCTACCGCTGCGGCAATTCCAATAGCCAATGCAGACGTTTTTCATTTTGAGCCTGTCTGTTTTTCCCTGATTCCTCTTTTTCCCTGCCCTTCTTTTTCTGGCTCCTCCTCTCTTTCCTCTCCACCTTCTTCTCCTCCCATCAGTCTTCAGCAACGATTCTGGAGAAAGTGTCGCCAAAGGAGCACGTTCTCCGTCGCTCCTGCACCGTTTCCCTTTTTGATTTTTAAAATTGTTACTCATGTTTGTTTTTTCTACGGTAAGTAAGAAAACTGTCACTCTGGCAGAGCCCTATACCAGGGAAGGGACAGGGGATGTCTTTACAGGGTCCATACGCCTGGCGCAGTCCCTCTCGCTTACCAGACGCCCACGTTAGCGACTGCTGAGTCCTGTAGCCATTCATCCCATTAGCACGTAGGTACACCGTGAGATTGGGATTTGTAAGGCTGATTGACCCACAGTCTTGCGTCCCTTTGGCAGACGGTGAGCCGCAGGACTGGTGTTTTTTTATCGAGGTATTGCGTCTCTAGATCCGTTGTGTTCTGTTCCTGAACCGCATGGTTTAGGTTAGCTGGTGACACCCCGGGAAGGATGTGGTTTTCCGCTCACGCACAACGGTCTTGAGCAATATAGAGGTTTTCCAGATCAAAGTGGACTTACAGCTCGAGATGAACGCCACTATCACCAGATAAATCTAGTGGGACCTGGAGAAGCGCGGGGGAGCAGCAGGTGTGCTCACTGCCCACAATCCTTAACGTGTTCCGTCCCTGGGCAGCAGCCCTCGTCCCCGATTATGTCCTACATTTTACTAACATGGTTCATGAAACCAATAGCTTCTAAACAAATTAAAATATACTAATGAGCACATGTTATGTTAAGTCCGGGTTTCTGTGTGGTAATTGTAACTGCTCTGTTTTCCTATCTGTTTGAAAATTTCACCAAAAGATGCTTTTCATTGCAGAGACAACAATATTCTCTTTGCATTTGCTATTAAAATGTAATACATGTCCATTCCACCAATGTTGATGCACCTCAATATACGCGCACACACACACTTTTATGTTTCTTTGATTTGGCGCTATTTTGCCAAGCCTTATATATATTTTAAGGTCAATTTTGAGTGACCATATCTCGGGCGTCTTTTAACATAAATCTAGATGAAATATTAATGGCACAGATGATGCAGAATTTAGGTAGCTTTAAAGAAGTATGCTGCATGAGTAGGTAGTGCTAGGCTATAACACGATAGTTGGGTGATTACATTTTCACGGTTCTTTTGGACGCCACTATAAATGAAACATTACAAAGAATTACAGCAGTTATCCTTACGCTTCTCCGGTTACCTCGTCGGGCATTTGACCTTGGCAAAAGCCGCGACTTCGTCCGATAGAAATCCGAATGAAAAGGACAATTTTTTTCATTAAGGTATGACTTTCACCGACGGGTGTTGGGGCACCCCTCTATGGGTGACGATTTAATTAATCATGACAAAACCTCGATGCACTGCTCGGTTCACAAAGAGACAATTCAAAGCAAGATACTTGCGAACAGCCTACAGTGATCCGTCAAGTTCTACCAGCGACTATTTGTTAGATTTGGTCACCATCACGCGTCTATGTCATGGTTGATTGATCCCGGGAGATAACCCCTACGGATAGCAGTTCTCGGTCACAATTAGACCGAACGCTATTAGGACAATAGTTCGCGTTCGGGCAGCAGGTTATGTCCAAGGGGGAATCTTTTCCATTATTGAAGCCACGAGAACTCACCAAACGTTTCATTACCTGGGATAGGTATCGATTTCACAGCTTCACCCACCGTATTCTCTACGCTCGAGCAAAGGCATTCATCTGAATCAAGTACATTGCCTTCAGTACTTACTAGAACCTATTATCTTGCCTACAGCTATTTGACTAGAGGATAACAGCTTGCCAGTAGTTATGGCATTGACCTAGGAAGCGTCAAATATGTAGTCCACCATTTCCAAGGCACATTCCAGTCTCATCCAGTCGATGCCCCCGGATGAACAAAACTGGCCAACATGAACAAACCAAAACCGTTTCTTGTAATACTGACTCTGGTTATCCTTGAACTAGTACAACAAAGTATTGGGGCTGGTTTTCGTTCGGTTGATGACGAAGTTCTAGAAGAAATATTTTCCAACTACAGCGCCAAATCAAGGCCTGTAGCAAATCTAAATGAAGCCGTTGCAGTTAATGTCACTTTTGGTCTGCTTAATATTTTGAACGTGGATTCTAAAAGTCAAAGCTTGGAAACGTCTGCGTTTCTGATTTTCAAGTGGAACGATAGACGATTGGTTTGGAACAGCAGCAACGTAAGGTCAGTCGTTGATTCTAGAACATTGTATGTACGACATGAGAGGAAAAAACAGCCAATTGTGTTTTTGAACTTAATACGCCTTTAGAAACATCTTCTGTAAGGGCTATTATTTGCTGGTTTGTTTGTTTGTTTTTTATTTTATCTTTCTCTATCTCTGTCTCCCTCCCCCGCCCCCTCTATTTTTCCCTTTTCCAAATACTCACTTTTCTCTTCCGTTCTCTACCTCCCTCCCCCCCCCCCCCCCACTCTCTCTCTCTCTCTCTCTCTCTCTCTCTCTCTCTCTCTCTCTCTCTCTCTCTTACTCTCAGACCCCCCCCTTCTCTCTCTCTCTCTCTCTCTCTCTCTCTCTCTCTCTCTCTCTCTCTCTCTATCTATCTATCTATCTATCTATCTATCTATCTATCTATCTCTCTGTGGGGGTTTTTAGGTGCATGAGCATGATGTACGTGTGTATCTCTCTCACTTACTCATTCAGTTTTTCTCATTAACTTATTCACTGCATCTCTCTGTCTCCCTTCCTCCCTCCGTTCCAGCTGATTACCTGTCTCAAGACAACTCCGTGTGGCGAAACAGTTCGCAGACGTTTGTGAAAGTGTGTGTGTGTGTGTGTGTGTGTGTGTGTGTGTGTGTGTTTGTGTGCGTGTGTTTGTGTGTGTGTGTGTGTGTGTGTGTGTGTGTGTGTGTGTGTGTGTGTGTGTCTGTTAGTAGACAACAATAATATGAGAGGCATCGTGGTGAACTCAGGCGCTCGTCAAAATAATTAAATCAAAATCAAAGAAATCGGCAGTTAAAAAAATTTTTTGGGGTCGATGGGCAATCTTTTTTCTAATTTTCTTTTTTTGACTCAACACCTTTTATATCCATTTAAAAACACATTTTTGTTCGGATATTACTGAAAAACGTTGTTTAAAGGCACAAAACTGTAAATTTTCAGTTTCCAATGACTCTCAGGCTTTGGAAGTTACCTAACTTTGGCAGCCATTTTCTCACTAATTTTACCTCAGAAACCAGGCCACTCTGATTTCCTTCAATCACACATATCTCTACATCTATTCAAGATAGATGGGTATTTTTCACGAAAAGGAAGGCAAATGAACAGGCTTTAAGGTGTAACCAATAACCCCATATACCCAAAAATTGACGAGAGCTTGATTTCACCACGTTGTGACACATATATGCCGGTACATCTGTGCTGGTATAAGACGTTTTTGCCTATATCATTATTAATATTATAATCGAGTACAAGTCGGTGAGTACACGAGTGTGTGCATATATAAATACAAGCTTTGCCCCCTTTCGATGAAAGGAATGATCGGTGCATTAACATCAACTGAAAGTCATTGGCCTACTATATTTACTCTCTTTTGGAAAGGAGCAATAAATCTTGAGAGAAAAGTGACACATGTGTTTCCAAGTTGCCAAATATATAATAGACAAAGGAGTCCAGAAAAAGCGATAATGGGCATCAAACGAAAAGATCACAGTCGAATTTAGAACAAAGTAAAAAAAAAAAAAATTTTTAAAGAAAACATGAGGATAGATCTGTACGGGTTGCACACTTAAAATAGTGCCAAAGAAAATACATGTAGACTCTTTGATAGTGCTCAGTATTGCGCGACAATGCGCGATAGTATCGAACGGAAGTACGACTTGAAATAAACAAACCTGGCAGATTCTCTAAAATTGCAGAGACAGAAGCGTCGGCCTACAAAAGCGATTGGCGAGATAAAGAAATTTAGCTTTTTGCAGCAGACTCTCAAAACTGAAAAAAAAACCGAAGGGCGTCATGATCTGGAGAATATGTTAAAGAATCTTTTAGCGATGAAGCCTTTAAAAAGCCTTTTGAATAGCAAAATTCGTCCACCACAAACAGATAATAGACGTGTGCAACAGTGTTGTGAGTGAGAGAATTTAACACCACCCCCACCCCCACCCCAAACCTCCCCGTCCAAGCTCAAGTCTTTGTTCATAAGTATGCGGGTTCGTGTTGAGCTTGTATAGGGTGCCTCAGTTTTCTAACAAATCGGATCGTACTTAGATCACATTGATGCAACCAATGAAAATCCTCACACTCTACAAAATATTCTTTCCTCACGACAGACCGGACACCCTTATTGTGGCAAAAGAAGATATCTGGACTCCTTATTTCGGCATCAGGAATGGTTTGGACTCAATGCTACTGGACGAGAGCATGTACATTCCTCCCGTCATAAGTCATAACGGTCAGGTCATGCTCATCTTTTCGGGAATCATAAAATCCAGGTACTGTCTTTGTAAACAACAAACATTGTCTTGAAGTTACTGAATCGTTCTTTTTCTGAAGGAAACGGCATCTGAGCCAGGAATTTGATTATTTCTGTACTGCAAGGCAATATCTGAGACATGTTTTGAGAATGCCAAAGACAAAATTGCCCTATGAAGATACATACAAGGTATTGGAGACCAAATGGAAAAAGAAGACGTGGTAGACCAACTGGCAGTTATAGGAGTACGATCAGTGATGAGGCAATCACCCAGGGCCTGGATGCGTCAAAGCTTGATGCTAGATGTATTGGCCTGGGACAGATAAGGGTGGCGTCTACTGCTCTCTGAATTGTGAACCTGTCGGTACAGGTAGAGAGTAAGTAAGTAATACTACAAGCGATAGCGGGACAAAGAAGAAAATCCTGTCAGCACACAGATCCTAGACGATACATCACACGTTTATTAATAATATTATGATATTCATACCATGTAACCAATGCAGTAATGCGCCAGATCAACCAATGGTTAACTCTAAATTTTATTTTATCAATATCTAAAAATGACAATAGCAACACACAGAATGCAGTTTGCACACGCTTTGGTTTCATAGTTTTCAAAGGAAGCTTTTTATTTATTTTATTTCATTTTATTTCATTTTATTTTTTATTTATTATTTTTTTTGGGGGGTGCTTTCAATGGCTGTACTGATAGTCGATTTTCTAATTGCCCCTCACAGGCCGATCTGGGTTAAGAAGGTTAATATAATAATATAGCATCCCAGTAGAAAGAAAGACGGAGATAGGCCTACCCCAGACAGACAGACCGACGGGTAGACAGACAGACAGACAGACAGACAGACAGACAGACAGACAGACAGACAGACAGACAGACAGACAGACGAGTCGGCGGACGGGCGGACAGACAGACAGACAGACAGACAGACAGACAGACAGACAGACAGACAGACAGACAGACAGACAGACAGACAGGGGTTGTAATTATTCTTTGCCGCTACCGTCTGTCTCCTAGGTGTGTAATGGACATGCGGAAGTTCCCGAAGGACACACAAGTGTGCTTGCTGGTTATATACAGTCCGTCATTCCATTACAACAACGTCTCATTGGGGACAAACTACAACCTCATATGGGACTTCCTCAGGTAAGCGTTATTAAATATGTGCAGTCAAAAGTGTCTAAGACGGCCAACCATTGTCGAGAGAAATGCGTCCGTCTTAGGCATGAGAACGTCTTACACGGTGTCGTTATAATATTTTCTTTTAAAAAGGGCAAAATGTGAGGGGGAAGTGAGACGTATTAGTATAGTTTGTATAGTGACTGTCTTGGACAGGTGGCCGTTAAAGCAGGTTTGACGACATGCTATTGTAACAAACATGTACAGTCAAACATCGTTTTACCCCCACCCTTGGGACGAGTGTAAAGTTGGCAGAACAGCGGGGCTGGCGGTTCAGCGGGGTTCCTCTGTTCTATAGCCTCGACTGCCTGACGTCAAGGAACATGATTCTGCTGTGCTGTGTTTGAAAAGTGTCTTATTGTTGGTGATATGCGTGTAGATGCACATGTTTTCAGAGCCGATAGTCTTCTCTGTCTCTATCTTAATGTATTTCTTGCGGGAGAAAGATTATCAACTTACCAACCAATGAATGCCGTGCGTCGTGTGTAGTGTGTACCTCTGGCAGGCAATTCGCTGGCGGTGCAGCGGAGTGAATTTACTTTAGTTTAATAAGGACGGTACAACTCAGACAGTTGGTGGATGGTGGCTGGCGGTGTAAAGGCATAAATACTATGTTTATATAGGCGTCCCTTTGCTACTGGCAAAACATGGCTGTAAACGGGGCTGGCGGTACAACGGGGTGCGGTACAACGAGGTTTGACTGTATGTATAATCTGTAATATTTCAATAGAATTACCAAACTGTTGGTGGACCTTTATAATCAAAGACCTGGGTGTTCAGTGGAATTCACAGATTATCTCCAGTGAAGCACAAGCCTGTTCAACATGCCTGAATGTGTACACACGACTGCTTAGTTTAAAACACACTGAGCAGTCAGTATGATTTTGACGGCTGTTCTGTCCTGATTGTTATGAATTGATATCAATCTGATCAAACTCGTCCTCTACTGGACCGGGCGGGGGTGGGGGGTTGGGTTATTGATCTGGAATATGGGCCCATGTAATATATTATGTTCAGCACTTTCCAGGTACCGTAGTCTGTCCTTAAATAAAAAATGATAAGTTAAATAAATGAATTTTAAAAACACCACCACCAACAAAATCTAAGTCATTAAGACAAAATAGGTTTTGCAGGCAGAAGTTTGTTCTCTCCATTCGTAACGTCGTAACAACTATGATGATGATGATGATGATGATGATGATGATGATGATGATGATGATGATGATGATGATGATGATGATGATGATGATGATGATGATGATGACAGTAATAATAACAATAATAAAATAATAATAATAATAATAATAATAATAATAATAATAATAATAATAATAATAATATAAAAAAATGATAACAATTAATACAATAATAGAAATAACAATAATAGTAATAATAACCACAGAGGGAAAAGATCCTGTTTTCTTGCTTACCCACTTTGAACATAATATAAACAAGAGCGCACTGAAGTAGAAGCGTGGAGATTGTCATAAAATTCTTAGGGCAGGATGTACATACTCTTTCGTCCAGAGGCCATATCGCCGGTAATATCCCAAATCCTACATTATTACGTTTGCTAAGCATCCGGATTTTCTGCTTTTCAGAGAACAATGTGGCTGGCTGATAGACAATATTACCATTAGCCCAGAAGAAAAGAAAGATAGCAGCGCCTTAAAGCCGCACAGCTTAGAGGTTCGGTAGAGCCAGTTACAGTATTTTTTCAGGGTAACCAAAATAATTCAAACTGTCACTTATTACATTTGCTAATTATCATGATCTTCTGTATTTCAGGGAACACGGTGATTGGCTGATAGACAATATTACCATTAGCGTTGTTGAAAAAAATGAAACCGAACCCTTACAGCAACACGGTTTGGTTGTTGAGTTGACCATCTTGAGACAGCCCTACTTCTACATTATAGAGATCATTGGACCACTCATCTTTTTGTCGTGTTTAAATCCTTTCGCCTTTATGCTACCCACTGACCACGGAGAGCGAATCTCGTTCTCCGTCTCCCTGCTGCTTTCCAACACGGTAACTTTGGCCAGTCTGACAGACATAATGCCCAACTCAAGCAGCAGCATGTGCTACATCAGCATACTTGCCAGCGTCACTATGTTCATCAGTGTCTCCATCGCTCTCCTTGTTATCATAACCGCCCGCATCGCCACTTGGGAAGGTCAAAGTACCAACAGACAGTTGTGGATCTGTTTAGCCAAGTCTGTGCGTTGGAAGAAGATAAACCAGGTGAGCGCCAGAGGAGACCAAGCGACTACAGAAGACGATAAAGGAGACCAAAGGGAAATTCAGAAGGTGGAGAGAGAACAGAATGAGAGTCTTTTCCGAGTACTTAGTTTTGAGGATGGCAAGGAGAACAAAGAAAAGTCAATGGGTACACAATTCATCTATCTAAATAATAACAATTCTGAAGAAAAAACTTTCGGACGCAACAATTCTTTGACGTGGTATGAAGTTGCCTGCATTGTAAACAAAACTTCTTTTCTAGTAACGATGACTTCAACATTAGTTTTTGTGTCAGGGACTATACTCATGGTCTTTGAGTGATGAGTGATGAAAAATCAGGGTAGGGCGAGAGGACATAAATATTTTAATGTTTCTTGTGTTGTTGCTATTGCTGTAGCTGTTGTTGCTGTTGCTGTTGTTGTTGTTGGAGGGGGTTGGTTAAGGGGGGGTTGTTATTTTTCGTTATTGTTGTTGTTGGTGGTGGTGGTGGTGGTGGTGGTTTTGCTGTTGTTGTTTTTGGGTTGGTTGTTTGTTTGTTTTTGTTTTTTTTCAAACAAAATCTGTACCAATGCACTATGTTGCATTTCATTTACGGAATACGATAAGCATATATGATACATTTTCCTGTCCGTGAGTCTGCTTCTCATCTACATTGTATTTATTTGTTTTTAAAAGTCAAGCTTTAAGTATCTGACTCGTTGGATGTCATCTCAGCTGACACAACAGCAGGAGCAAAGCCAGTCGTACTTGACAATATCACAGGAATTAACTGTTTGGTCAAGTTTAGCGCCATTGAAGAGATGAGCCCTCCAATATTGGCAATTACACCCGAAACGAAAGACAAATTCACGGAAAGTTAATCTGACACAATCGACTTTGTGTTTACTTTTTTCTGAATAAAATATCAGAAATAAAACCTGGCTTAAAGTATCCACCCTGAATTTATTTGTTAATCTGGGATATAAAATGAGTTCACGAATAAAACGGTATATGTTTACAGGATCATTTTGCTTCTATCCTAGAAATGCTGAGATGAAAGGCCATACTACACTTAGCGTCAATAAAAACCAGACACATTTTAATAGCGTGTTTCATGAAAAGTTGAAAACCCATTGAGCTGAAATTTTCCACACGTGATTGTGAACACTTGACGCTCCTGATCAGCCTCCATTTATGATCAGGTGCTCAGTTTATAAAGCTCATGTCTTGTTTTGTTAAAAACCGTGTTTTGTCAGTTTTCTCGAACGTTTTTGGTTTATAAATTCTATTTTATGGGTTTAACACATCTTTTATCTGTAGCCAAGAATAAAACGTTAAAAGTTTCTTTTCAAAACATCTAAATCTAAAGATACAGCATGCCGCGTTTAACGAACGAAGAGCGCAATCAGGCAGTTGGTATGCTGAGGGCCAATACGCCAGTAGCGAATGTTGCAAGGACCTTCAGTGTGACAAGAGACACGATATATCAACTAATGAATCGTTTGCAGACGTCTGGATCCGTGCAGGATGGACCCCGGACGGGTCGTCCTAGAGCTACAACACCAGCCCATGACTGGTACATTCGGGTCTTGCACCTACGAGATCGCTTCCGGCCTGCTACCAAGACAGCCAGGGAGTGGAAGGGACGGAGAACCATAAGTGCGCCGACGCCTTAGACCTCAGCCGGTCACCTTGGATCAGCTAGTACAGCACTTACAAACATAATGGAACAACATTCCACAGCATCCCATACAAAGACTTGTGCGAAGCATGCGGCAGAGGTGCACAGAAGTCGCCAATGCCCACGGTGGCTATACGCGGTATTAACTGTGACTTTTCATTTTAAGGCCTACAATTAAAAGATCAAATTTCAGGAAATAAAGTTCATTTTTTAAAATTGCTTTTTTTTTGTGTAATTGATTTGTAAAATGTTCAAACTTTCCTTATGGAGAGATTGTTTGTGGTTAAAATCAGTCTTTCAATACAAACAACACTTTAAAAAAGGGGTGTCTGGGGGGTTTTTTACGCCAAGTATATAATTGCATGTGCAGACACTTTGTAAATGGTTTCTGCAAACAGTAATTCTCACTTACTTCTTACTTACTATCTTCCTGTACCGGCAGGTACACAAGGCAGAGAGCTGTCGACGCCATGTTGGTCTTTTCCTGGCCACTCTAGCTTTGACTTTGACACATCCAGGCCTTGGGTGATCACTGATCCCCGGTCGTACTCATAGTACTGCATGTTTGTCGACCTCATTTTCTTTTTCCATTTGATATCCAGTACCATATTTGATAGGGCAATCTAATATCTGACATTCTCAAAACTTTTCCCAGATTTCACCATTTTCTGTTTATGGTTATACTGATATCTTCAATCCCAGCTCTTCATAATTTCGATTCCATTTTATTGATAAAATCCTTCGTAGACGTTTTATTTGAAACTTGTTTTTGTTTTTATTTTTTAATTTCGTTGAAATTCTTTGTTTGTAATTCACAGTCTAGCACGTGCTTGGCGAATTTGGTGAGACTCGGAAATCCTTTCGTTATGTACCAATTTCGCTATATAGGCCTACGAGTTTTGAATACAAAGAAATATACATATTTATGAATGTTCCCTATGTGCGTCTTTTGGTGTATGCGTGTTTGCTACATGCGTGCTTGACTGCAAATACATATAATGTGGACAAATGCATTTCAATAGAAATAAACAGACCAATATTTGAACTCAAACATCCTACAGTTTCATTATGTATCTTTGTTTCTAAGTTGATTTATGCAGTCGTATTAATGTGGTTGAATATAAGCTTTTGAATATTATGAGTTTCTTTCTTTGAATAGTATACATTATTTATCTATTTGTCCACTTGTCTATTTATGATCCTCATTTATTCATTTATTCGTTTATTTATTTATTTATTTATTTATTTATTTATTTATTTATTTATTTATTTATTTATTTATTTATTTATTGGATGCTCTTTCGCCTCCATCGACACAATTTAGATCCTTTAGAAAACGAACTACATGCTCTGCCTGTCATTGCCAGCCCGGGATTACAAGGATACAACAGCTCACCAGAAAGGCCGAGATACTCGATAAAAATGTCCTCCCCAGTTGGGAATCGAACTTGGGTCTCCTGCGACAACAGTTTGTTTGGGGTTGAGTAAAGAGAAACACGTCAACTCAGCCGAAACTTATTTTTTAATCAGGAAAAACCCCCGCCTTTAAAAAAAATTAATTAAAAAAAATAGCCAGCAAGGCAGACGGACAGACAGAAACGAAACCGTGAAAGTACAGATGTAGGACCACCCGTTGGAACCCGTCAACCCTTCAACCCTTCGAAAATGAAGCCAGCCTGATAGCCCATAATCCTCTGCCCGAGAATAGATCCACAGTCAAGGCTTTGCTCAGAATGTACCCTCTCGTAAGACTAAGTTGTATCAAAAGGTATAGTAGTAGTAGTAGTACATAATATATTAACTTGTGCTCTGTCAAAGCAATGCAGTTTCAACCAGGTTTGCAGCCCCAACCCTCTTTCCTAAACACCACCACCCCCTCCCCCGGGTCTTTTTCGTCTGTCTTTTTTTTTCTCGTTCCCTCACATTCATTAGATTTTCATTGCCACCACCTTCTTTCTCCCAGGCCCACAATCTAGCACCCTACAACTTAGTGTTTGATGTGTATATACATGTATTTCAGTTGACATTACGGAAATTAAGTCGGAGTAGATCTACTTCTTTTTTTTAACTATTTAATTACACCGTAGTCTACATAAACCTGGAGAGGGGAGGGGCGAACCAAGGGGGAACAAGCAACCACTTTTCTCCATCCTTCTCTATTTTCAGCGTTTGGAAGGACTTCACCCAACTTTAAGCCTGTCCATTCCATTATGTTGTCTTCACATCTCTTTTTCTGTCTGCCCTTCCTCTTCCCTCCTAGTACAGAGCCCTGTGGGATCATCTTTGCAAGTCCTGTTGCTCTCGTTATGTTCCCACTATCTCAGTTTCCGTTTTTTCACACTGAAGATCTTCAAACGGCACAATGGCACGCTGGATTTTGTTCCTCAATTTCTCATTTGGGACTTTATCTCTGTAGGAGATGCCCAAAAGTCTTCGAAAGCATCTTTTCTGTAGATTGTATCTTTCTCTCCAACTCTGATGTAAGGGTCCACGATATACGGTATAGATCTGTGGTATTCAAAAATCTTAGTTTGAGATAAATTCTGAAACTAAAGCAAAAATTAAACTGTATTCTTGTGTGTCAACCCCCCCCCCCCCCTTCCCGGGGGGGGGGGGGGGGGGGTATTTTTGTGTGTGGATGGTTTCCTCTTTGTGTCTATACCAAGACTCAAAACCAGAGCGAGCCCAGCGTCAGGGAAATGATCCGGTGGTAATTTACCTGTCGAACCCGTGTGGGGATCAATAAAATATGGTTTTTGGCGGTCTTTTGATTTGTTTTCTTTTTGTCTCTAAACAACCGGGCTTCTGTGATGTAGCGACCCCTGAGTTCAATTCCTCAATGGGAAGAAAAAAATTATCGAGTATCTCGGTCTTTTTGATGGGATGTTGCATCCCTCTCAGTCTGCGTTGGCTCTAAGCCCGTCTCCTAAATAATTATCTAAACTGTGTCGATGGGGAGTACAAACATGTACATTTTTTTTAAAATCCTGTAAATATTGGATATACTTACTGGTTTCCAGGCTACTTATATATCTCCGCAATAAATTATATTTAACTACCCCCCCCCCCCCCCCAAACCGTTCTGGTACATGTTCCGCGCAATTTACCGCTCTTCAGTTTCATATCTTAATTTTCAATTATATTTTCATATTTTTACACTTTTGGAAATATATGTGTATGCGTGGATGTTCCTTGATGTGGGTAAAAGAATAAAGACGGAAGTGAATATTTTTTTTAAAGTATGACATAAATTGATGAATGTACTTTTTGAACTTTGAGTTTGATACCTGGCATTGTATCATTCTTGTGAGCTCTTCAGTTTCACACTTCAATTTTATTTTTATTTTAATTTCCATATTTTTTACACTTTTGAAAATATATTATGTGAATGTTCCTTAATGTGGTAAACGAATAAAGATGGAAGTGAATTTTTGTTATTATTATTATTTCAAAAATATAAAATATTAACGCAATTATTAACGTGACCCAACAGCGCAATTGCACCATCGATAAAACGCGCACCGCAATTTTAAGATTGCCGCGCAAATTATACGATCGTTAAAATGCGCAACGCAATCGCATACACATTCAAATAACTTTCACTTTCAGGTTCTCCTCTTCAGGTTTGTTTTTGGGTCGTTATTGTTGAGTTGGTACGATGCACTAACTAAAGTAATACATTTTGAAGAGAAGAATTGATACCTCCGTATAAGCTTTCTCCGATACAACAAAAGGGGAGCCTATAAACTTTCCATGAGATCTGCTTTTAGAAAAGGGGTTGAACTTAACATTCACATAACTGCCCAGTCTAGTACCCAATTACAATCAGCACGTAGCCTAGACAAACGGCTCACCGTAGAATACAAAAGACGCGCCTTGGTGATGGTTCGGGGGATAAAGGCGCTAGTACATTGTACGTTTTTATAGGATGGTTTTAGTTGGGGGGGTTTTCAAAGGGTTGAACCCTTCAGATCTTTAAAAGCTCAATGACTTGTTGCTTTAACCTACATGATGTGTCTTAGCGTCTGTGTAGAAAATAAACCCCTGAAAAAACAAACGATTGAGCTTGAAAGTTGGACAGTAGAATGTTCAAGCCAGTTTCACTGCTTGCCTTGAATGTGAAATCACGACCAACAGACAAAATATGTGAACACATACCACTACCGGTATACATTTTATATATGACATACAGATAGCCAATACACACGCTCATACACACTCACACACACACACCTACACACACACACACACACACACACCGCGTGCGCGTCAAACACACACTCCTATGCGTGCACGCTGGCGTTAGCGAGAAAGTGAAGGGGGGGGGGGGAGAAAGATGGAAAGAGAGAGAAAAGGAGAGAGAGAGAGAGAGAGAGAGAGAGAGAGAGAGAGAGAGAGAGAGAGAGAGAGAGAGAGAGAGGGGGGGGGGGTTCTGTATGGGGGTGGGGGAAGGATTGGGGGGGGGGGGTTGATATTGCTTTTGTGAAGTGCCCATTTCAGGGTTGTAATACAGCAACAAGTGCGGAATTTAGAAAGAACCAGATAAACGTAAATTCAGTACCCTACTTTCAATTTGAACGTTGTGATTTAACATAACCAACATCTATATTCTCTCAATACATTGTAGGCTACATACTGAAAAATAAAATTTAAAAGGCAGCAAAGATCGAAACAGGGTCACAATGTCCAGAATTAATAAAATTCATCTCCAATAGGACTGAGCGAGCGAAGGAGATGGAAAATTTAGAGAATTCCTCCAAAATAATTCAAAAACGTCTCATGGGGGATTCAAACCAGGAACATCCGCACGGTTGCTCAGTGTGATTGTAAAATGAGGTAGTGATGCATGATATCAGAAATAAAAATCAAGTAGGATTTACGATGGACACAAAATCAAATGTCTGCATGAATGGGATGTGGGTGGGGGTGGGGGGTCGTAAGGCTAAGAAATACATCTCCGTTGAAAAAAAAAAAAGAATTCATTAGATCTAGATCTAGAGCAAGGAGTTTAGAACTAATAGTATGTCTTGGTCTATAAATAATATTATAGATCACAATAATTTTGTTTCCTGGTTTTCACAAAGTGGAGCGCACAATGATTTCAAATATTCAACAACAAAAAAGAGATAACAGCACCCTTGGAGGTGTGATCGCATGCATGAGCGTGGATAACCTTTGAAGGCTTTTTTTTTCAGTAAAGTATGATATGGAGAGCAGCATTTTTAGTCCCTTATTACACTCCAGAGGGGGATAATTTATCTTAGTGATGACTCTTGTGTAGTAAAATTTGTTGTTGCTTTGTTTGGTTTATTTTTTAACAGTAGAATCTTAAGTGAACCGGAATTATTGATTGTGGGGTCTTAGGTGAAGACTACAACAATAGAATTAAACCGAGTATAGTTCTATCTAACAAGACTCAAACTCTTATCCACCCCACCCTACCTTCTCCCCTCATCTGATATGGTTTGGTGTTTCTTTAACATAGAAAATATTCATCATTATTGTTGTTGAATATTGATTTCATGTTCTAACGGAGCCTCTAGATATCTACATTTAGACTACAGTAGCATCTAATTTGCACACACAAAGGAAAGCAATATCTTTAATTAAAATGTATAATGTATATACATACACACACATAATAATTATATATATACTCATAATAATTATATATATATTTATGAATACGAATACTTTAAAAAAAATGAGTATCTCAGTCTTTCTGCTGGGGTGTTGTATCCCTTCAGCCTGGGTTGGCCTTGGCATAAAGCGCCGGGGCCAGCCTCTTATGAATTAATGATTTAAATTGTGTTGCTGGGGGCATAGAAACACTTTCATTCAAATTTTTAAAAAGGGGAACAACTTAACTGTGAAAACTTCGGTCCATTGCAGCATCATATCGGTTCTTACACTTAAATACAACACATATGCAAGGCATTTTTACTAATTGACTTGCCTAATCTGAAGGACCTCGGAATAAAACCTTCTTTCTTATATAGATTTCAGTGCCTTAGTCGGGCAATCGCGCAGCGCAGGTAGCCCACGGTTCCGCCGCGAGAGAGGGCTCCTATCAGGCGTGCGGTGCCGCCCACAGGGCATCCTCCATTACTTTTAATCTCCTTGATCTAGAGCGAAACTGAGAATCGATGGAGAAAAGAGCGAAACTAATATCTAACGACAGATTTTTTTTTTCCGGGTGTTTCCGTTTTGCGGCTGTCTTCGGTTCTTTGTTCAAGCGGGAAGTAGAAAAGCGATTTGTTGTTTTCTCATCTCGACATCTCGATGCGCCAAACAAGAAAGCAAGCTGGTAATGTCGGCGTGAGCCCAATGTAGTCAAACAGGAAGAGTTTTTATAGAATATCTGCTGGATTACGCAAATAGTGAGGTGCATTTTTACTTGTTTACGAATGCACTGAAGTGTCTGAAGCGACCTGTTCAGCATGAGTGAAGGAGAAACTACTTCTTTGGCTTTGCCGGACCAGGTTGGTCTCCTCCTTCAGACTCTTTTTAGTAGGCCTAATAACCTAATGTAATAGTCTAGAACTCTTTTAATCTAGATCTAGGCTCTAGACAGGCCTGGCTAGGCAACTCAACTTCAACTTCAGACTTCACTGTCTAATCTAACTCCAAGCCTTTACACTCTACACAACTCTGCACTGTTTAGATCTTACTCAACTGTACTCTACATGACATGATAAGCTGTGCCGTAGAGATTTATATTTAAATAAGCCTAGATCTAGACTTCTAGATCTAGATTCTTGAGATAGGCCTCTATTCTATATATATACTCTAGATCTAGAATCTAGATCTATACTAGACTCTATGTATATCTAGAGATCTAGATTAGATCTATATCTAGATTCTAGATTTAAAATACAAAACCAGAGTTTATTCTCAATCAAAATCTACTCGTGGCCTCTATGTCAACCTTTCCGCCATTCGGTAGTTCCCACCCCCCTTATTTGAGCCTGACCTACATCTAGATCTAGATCTATACGTTTGATTCGCGGTGAGCTAAGATATCAAACCTAACAACTGCAAAACATTAAATTATGGTAAAATTCAGGGGGGCATGCCCCCCTCAAACCCCCCTTCCTATTTTTGTTAGGTCAGGGGGGCAAGCCCCCCTGAAACCCCCCTACTCTTGTGGCCCAAACCCGTGAATAAAATTGCGGGGTGGGAACTGCCGAAAAAGTGCCAACCTTTCTGTTTCAACATTTTATTTTTAAAGAGAAAACGGACACGCCTGTTCTATAGTCTATGTGTGTGCTTGATATTGTGCGTTCGTGAACTTCCGCTTGTAAAAACGCATGCCTCTCTGTCCCTGTCTGTATGTTGTATGTGTGTGTGTCTCTCTCCCTAATAACCCCCGTCCCCCAGGTTTATGTTCCCGGATATATTATGTTGGGTGCGATCCATCGATCGTGTAGCGCTTTTGGTTGATCGAGGAAACGCGCGACAATCCATCGATAATTGCGCATTCTGTTGATCAGCAGCGCTTTTTGTCGATCTGTTTAGTTGCACGTTCTATAAATAAATCTTACCCGTGGGTTTTGTTATAAAAGATGTTTTGTTGTTGTCCAGGGTGTAATTTAGTTTCATTCTCCAAAGTCAAACCGAAACTGAATGGAAATAACTGGAAGTCAGGGTTACAATAACTTACTAGATCTAGATCTACATCGCAATAACGGACGTTGAAATCAGGGTTATAGGTCGGTGAGTATCACTCCGAACACTTATTCAATATGGAGCGGTTCACGGCGCAGTCTAAAAATCCTGGGTCTGCGTTACTGACAAAAGAAAAGTTTGACATGATTGTTAAACATCAACACACAACAATTTATCACAAGCCTGTCACAAGCCATTAAATCTTGACTGTATTTGAATTTGGAATACCACGTGAAGTACTCCGCCAATCAAATCCGTCCAAATACTGAGTGCAGGTGCTCGATTTAACGTTGTGTCAATTTATCTGCCTCACTCAACCGTCAACACTTTAAGTTCAACCCACAACTCTTCTCTTAGAAGCAAAACAATAGGATGCTGAAAGACTGACATGCTCAGTTAACCAATTTTCTTTTTTTTTGAAAATTCACTTCATCATCATAGTTTATCAACAGAATGCGCAGTAGGTATTTATATATATATTTCATGGATCGACAAAAAGCACTGCACGATCCACTGATCAACTAAATGCACAACAATCGATGGATTGTTGTGCGTTTCCTGGATCAACCAAATGCCCTGCGCGATTGATGGATCGCGCAAATTGACAGATCAAGCCCAACAATAATATAAAAGCACATTTCTGCTTTAGAGTAGTTTGTGTGCGTAAGCGGCCCACTTCTAGAATCGCCTGTGTTGGTTCTACACTGAAGCGTAGGTTAGCCTACGTCTCATTCAAAACACGTCAAGTTGAAGTTGGTTGCTCTAGATGTCCGTCCAATGAAATTTGAGAACAAATTAACTCACTTAGAAGTGAGGAGCTTTAGAAGAGATGCCAGGAAACAAGACTTCCATTTGACATTTGACTGTACACAAACTCTTTCATGAACTTAAATTTATGCAAAATGATTACGTGATAAAAATAAGTTAATAGATAGTTTTGAATACCATTGTGTAGGTAAAAAGAAGAATTTGAGTACAAGACATTTGGAAATTGATACTATTTCCTTTCGAATGCAGGAATGTGTGTAACTGCTTATTATGACTTTTATCAACTAGATCTAATGAGAGGGGGTTAGATCTAACTTATTCATTACGTCATGTGTTTGTAACACATGAATAGAAAGCTAGAATAAAGCTTTGTTTTCAGGCTTGACGCAGCTTCACTCGGTGGCAACTGACACCGACGTCAATTGCCACCGCTTCACTCTGTGGCAATTGACACTGGGGTCAATATTGCCACTGTGTCACTCAGTATTCAGTTGCAATTGACGCTACCTAGATAAAACCCATAGTCCGAATAGATAAAATATCTAATTGAACTCGAGCCCGAATATACAGCCCGTTTAATATAGATTTCAGAGTGGTTGCTCGTTACGGAAGTCCTCCCCTGGATGTGTGTGTGTGTGTGTGTGTTTGACGTGCATGTTGTGAGCACTTTCTTGTGTGTGCATGGGTGTGTGTATGTGTCGTATACATGAATATAGTTCGTACATATTATTGTCATTATTATTATTATATTATTGTTAATTAATACGAAGTGATTATTCGGACTCGAGTCCGAATATGAAAAAATGTTATTCGGACTCTGATTCTTGTCCAGCATGACATCACTTCCAACTTCCTGTGACTCGTGACTCCGGCTTCCTGTCCTGCCTCACTCGTGACTCGCCTCAGGCTGGGTAGAGACCGGGATCACTACTGCCAAAAAGGCGTTAAATTGTGCAGGAGCCGAGTTTTAATCTTATGA